GTTTGTTTCTCAGAGTCCATAGTCTCTCATGGTTTGTCTCCCCCTCCGATTTCCCCCCCTTCATTCTTCCCCTCCCGCTACCTTCTTCTTCTTCTTCTTCTTTTTTGAATATGCCTTTTAATCCTGAAGCCAGAGCTCATGGGGCTGATGCCTGTGGATGTTGTCATTCCAGCTGGGAAGGATGAGTTCTTGCAGCAACATTTGTGGGTCCAAGCAGGCACCAGTGTCCTCGTTATCATCTACTACCAAGGGCAGGTACCAGAGCTACGGAGTCCGGTCCTACCTGCATCAGTTTTATGAGGACTGTACCACCTCGATCTGGGAGTATGAGGACGATTTCCAGATCCAGAGATCACCTAATAGGTGGAGCTCACTATTCTGGAAGGTAAGAACAGAACATGTTTGTAAGTCAAGAAATGGAAACGTTACTGAATATGGTAAATCCTGGAGCTAGGAAGAACTGAGAGGTCTGGGCCTCTCTGTGTGCATCCATCTTGATGATCCTAAGTGCAGTCTTCTTCCCTTAGAAAAGGAGAATATAAACCTTGGGCTGAAGAAAGCCCCTGAGCACAGCACAGTGGTTGATTTGCAGGTTAAACATAAATAGGTATAAATGTCATCATTAATTATTATTGTTGCTACTGTTACTGATGTGCCGCTAAATTCACCAGCTGTGAAGCCACCCGTAGGCAAAACGTTATATGCTCCCAGCCTCCCCTGTAGGCTTGGTAAGTATCATTTGACAAATTGCAACAAGTATTAAAAAGAAATCGTTGGGTATTGCGAGTTGATGCTGAGACATAACACAATGGTCGTGTGCCGTCTGTCCCTCTACCAGACGTGATCATGAGGCTCTGTGAGCTCCAGCTTCTTCTCATGAAAGCACCTCATTAGACAATGTACTCAGTCATTCAGCATATGGTTAGTGAGCACCTACTCTGTGTCGAGAAGTTGCAACGTGCTAGAAATTAAAGTGATGAGAAGGAAAAGCCCTCGCCCTCTTGGAACTTGCAACCTATCAGGGAAAACAGACCGTAAATGAATAAACCACATACTAGAAGGTCAGGTGATAACAAATGCTGTGGAGAGAAATGAATCAGGACAAGACAGTAGGGAGTGATGGAGGCCTGGTATTTAGCATGCTGTTTGTAGACAGCCCTTCGGAGGAGACAACATTTGAGCAGGTACCAGGATGAGCTGAGGGAGCAGACCGTAAGATGACCTGGCTGAACGTCCTCCTGGGCTGGGAAAATAGCAAGTCCAAAGCTCTGAAATGGGAACCAATTTCGTGTGCTTGAAAAATAGCAAGAGTTCCAGTCTGGCTAGAGTGGAATGAGAGGAGAAAAAGGACAAGTGAGGAATGCAGAAAAATAACAGGACACGGATGATTTGTGTAGCACCTTGTAGATGATAATGAGGACACTGGCTTTTACCTTGAGAGATACGGGAAGCCCCTTGAACATTTTAAGCAGAGGAGTGACACGATCGGACTAATATTTCAACAGGATCGTGCTGACTACAGTTTGAAAAATAGATTATAGGAGGACAAGGGTAGAGGCATCCAGGTTGTTTGGGAGGCTCTGAAAGCACCCAGGCAAGAGATGATGATGGCTTGGAGTAGGGTGGTGTTGGTAGAGATGGTGAGTAGTAGTCTGAATTAGCATAAAGTTTGAAGACAAAGCTGTCAGGACGTGCTGATGAAGTAGACAAGAGAGAAAGAGCCAAGCACAGCTCAAAGGCTTGCAGCCTGAGCTATTTACTGAATGATGTCATAATTTTCTGGGAGGAAAACACTGGGAGAGCAGTGGGAATGGTGGGGAACCAAGAGTCTGAGTTTGGCCATGATATGCTGGAGATGCCTATCAGACATGTGAGTGGGGATCTCTAGTGGTAATTTAAATGCAGCTCATGGATTGGGAGTCCCTGACATACAGAATACATAAGAGGCACCAGACTAGATAAAATGACCCAGGAAGAGAGTATGGACGTAGAAGAGGGCATCGAGATGTCTGAACATTTAGAGATCAAGAAAAGGGTGAGGATTTGGGGAGGGAGGCTGAGAAGGTACAACCTTAGGTGGGGCCTCAGCTCGGGGATCCCAATCATCCCCAACCTTCTCCCAAAAGATCCCAGAATGTTTTACATTGATGTTGACATAAACTTAACAATTTATTGGCAATATAGTTTAACAAGAGGCAATGTCACATAATGCTTATGAGCATTGACTCTGTCCTCAGATTACACAGGTTCAAACCTCAGCTCTTACATTTAACAGCACTGTACCTTTGGGCAAGTTAATTGACCTTAGTGGGCCCCAGTGGTGATGCTTATCATACCTACCAGGTAAAGCTGTGAGAATTAAGTAAGATGTCTTGTATGCAATCAAGCATTCAGTGTATTAACTCCTACTATCAGAGGTCCTGTGAAACACTGGATCCTGAAGTGGAAAGAAAATTTGAAATCTAGTTAATAAATAAAGTACTGGGCAACACAGTTGTTAACATGGATTACCCAAGACCTGTGTTAATTCAATATCTTACAAGTGTCATGTACTCTGTATTAAAATTGATCGAGCCAGCGTCCTTGCCCTGTGGAAATGTCATGTCTGATGAATCCTTACTGGCTTGGACTGATGAAATACATAGCCAAGCTTGGCACATCTTGTATTTACCCAGTTAAGTGGGTGGCTGCTTCCTTATGTGTCAAAAAAACAAATATTTGCCTGACAGATCCGTTGTGCCAAGGGCCTGAAATACCACTGTCATAGAGAATATTGAAACCATTCCCACCATTCCAAGGCACTACCAGTTAGGAGATTTGAGAAGCTATAAATCCATCAAATAATACGTAGGTATGGATTTAAAATAAAGAACTCACAGTAAATTACCAACCCCAGAATTCAGATTTCAGAATTCTCTCTTCTATTTTACACAAACAAGATTCAAAAGTATCTGTTCCCCATTGTGCTGGACCTACTTTAGGGACTAGAAACAGGCAAAAGTCCATGGCCTCACATAGAGATTATATTCCAGCAAAATCCAAATCCTAGACTCAGATCCTAATCACAAAACACAAGACTGGCATTCCGAAGCTTAGAGTCAACCTGAATCACCCAAGAAGTCACTGTCTTAGAGACCTCCCCTCTACCAAGGGAATAAACTAAATGTTCTTTGGTTTCCTTCTAGAAAGGACAAGTGAATCCATCTCAGTGGGATTTATGAAATGCTTTGTATCAGTACAGAGAAAGACAATGATTGTGCACATGTTTCTAATCATGATTCGTTTTTGTGATTTTTTTTTCTTTCATTTCAAACTGCATCTGTGGGTGGTTCCAGTTATGGGCTTCCCCTCTCCCGATTCCCAATAAAGTGGTGCTGAGGGATTGTTGGTTTCTCGCTAGAGGCTAGGATGCTGCACTGGGCCAGAAGCTTGGAGGGGCGTAATGAGAATGGAGATTGGAGTCTAATGAGCTTGAGGTAGAGTCTTTGCCCTGTCATGTGGGTCCATATGGCCTGGATCTCACAATGCTATTCATTCTTTCTTTCTACATATGCTTATATGTCCACTATGTGCACGGTTATGGGATAGGCTCTGGGATTCCTTTGTGAATAAGATGCTGTTCTTCACCTGTGACTTAGACACAGCCTTGACCTGAAGGAGTTCGCAAAGAGGGAAGGAGGAAGTGTCCGCAGACAGTTACCATCCAGCATGATAAACACCACCCTAACACACACACACACACACACACACACACACTCTGTGCCTCACAGAGTCTACCCCCTCAGCCACACCTCCTTTATCCCAGTGCCCAAAACTCCTGCCACCTGCAAGTCTCTGTGACGTGCTCCCACCGACCCCTTGCCATGCACTGCCCAGGAATCAAACTGGCTGTGGTGGGACTTTTCTTCTTAGACTTGCACTCGACCTTGAGGAAAGCTGTCACCACCTGATTGTGCAGCAAATCACCTCAGTAAGGGAGGTATAAACTAAGGAGAACAATCTCCTTACCCCATTCATGCTTTCCTCCCCTCAGAGTCACCCTCCTTCTTACCTTCTCCTCAACCCATCCTAGAAACCTCTCAGACGGTGTCCCCACAGCAATGTGCAGGTACGAGGTAAGGCTGCCTCCTCCACAGCCTCTCTGAACAGGAGAGACACTGGCCTCTCTCTTTTCGCCCAAGACCCTCCTCCCATCTGTCCTGATCTCTAGTTTCCCCCCCTGAGCTAAGTCAGAGTTTAAACTTCTGTGTTAGATTTTTCTTCAGAGTTTTGCTAGAGGTTGCAGAGTTGGTTTTATACTAGAAATGAGAGGAGCTCAGTGAATGGGTGGATGGCAGGAACACAGAGAAAGTAGGAAGGAAGGAATGAAGGGAAGGGAGGGAGGAAGAGAGGGAAGAAGGAAGGAAGGGGTGTCATTTTGAATATAAGGGTTTGAGGAGCCTTTGGGACATTTTTGTGTAGATCTTCCCATTGGCTGCCAGAAATACGGGGCTAGAGCCCAGGAAGGAAGTCCAGGCTGGAGATGGGGATTGGAAGATGTTGGCATATAGGTAGGAGTTTAAACTACAGCCACACATTCAACCCTACAGAGATCATCTTGAACAAGAGTTGTGAATCAAGGGGGAAACCCTGGGGAACACCATTAATTTAATAAACATCTGGCAAAACAGGTTGAGTGTGCATTGTTAAGGATGCAGATGTAGAAACAGAAGAGAGTTATGTCAGGTGAAGGTTTTTAAGAAGACGAAAGTGTTTAACATCACTGACTGCAGACTATTCAAAAGAGGTTACATGGGATTGGACAATTAGGAGGACTTTAGTGACCTCGGAGAAACCAATTTCAGTGAAATTGTGGGACTCGGCTTGAATATCAAGGGTTGGATGAGTTCAAGCTGTAGCTAGAGAGAGACACGGGGCTCTGGAATAGATTTTGAAGATGGAAACAATTGAGTGCATTCCCATGCTGGAGGGACCGAGCCTCCATCAGGTGGGAGACCGAGCTCAGGGTACCAGGTATCATGCCTGGAGGGCGTGGGCTGGGACCCCAGCCGGGCATCGGTGGTTGCTCCGCGAAGCTCAGTGTCCCTACCAGATGAGTTGCATCTGCTGTCACTGCCCACGGGGGACACCCCTCCGAGCCCAGGTCCTGCTCAGGAGAGGTCAGAGTGGGGCTGATGAAGAAGACGGGCCACACTTCCATCTTGCTGTGCTTCCCCTGTGTGTTACCTCGAAGCCAGATAGCTCCTTCCAACTTCCGCTGCCTCAGCTCCCCCACCGTCCTTCCCGCCACGCTGGTTCCCGCTTCCAGCGGTCATTACCACGTCCTCATCCAGGACAGCTGGGAAGCTCCTGCTGCCAGCCCCACTTTGTTGGAGCAAACGGAGGTGTGTTCCGACCTCGTCAGCTCACACGGAGATGATGGTGGGGATGCTGGTCCGAGTCACGGCAGGTGCTGGCTGGCAGCTGATGGATTCTCACACACACCCCCACAGCCAGGATGGCCCTCAGAAGTCACTGTCCTCGCTGCTGTCTGTAAGGTCGGTCGCAGCGGGGAGAGGTCCTTCTCCCTCGGCACTGGGCCGGCCCACCCACCAGCTGCCCTGGGCTGCTCGGCCAGGCCCCGTGGCGTTCCAGCTCTCTGCATGGACCCCCATAGCACTGTTTGTGCTTTCAGACGCTTGGGGACCCCTGTGTTGCCTTTTGTAAACTCTATTTCATAAAGCCCCCTTTTCTCTTAGACTGAGGACCACTTCAACCTAGAGCTGTGTCCTGAGACGGTTTTTATGGTTCTGTATGGCATCACTCCCCAAATCTTTATTCCTTCCGATCCTCCAAGATGGTACCAGGGTTAGGCAGATGCATCCCAGCATCCCTTATCACCTCTGTCCCACGCTCGGTTAAGACAGCATCCTTTATGTCCCAAGACTGCCCCTCCACACCCACCTCCCAAACCTTCCCAGACAGGTTTTCACAATGTTTAGGGTCCTCTCTGGGCACATGTCTTGGAGGTCCTCTTTGGACTTGTGTGGAGGGCACCTTCTGGATCCTGGGACTTGGCTGTTCGCCACCATCGTGCTCCCCTCCACAGATGGCAGGCCTCTCTCGGGTACTCCGATCCAACGGGGGAAAGGGAGAAGGCTCAGCGAGGCCAGCCACTTTCCAGTTCTTGAAGTGAGCAGGGCTTCTGCCATCTGCGAGGTACAGTTTGCCGGTTAGCTTCTGAGTGAGAGTCCAAGAGTGGATTTTAATCTATGAAGCACTGCTCAGTCGAGGAGCAGGCTGCTCTGAGAATCAGTCACCTGGCTCCGTAGTCAGCAGTCTGGCCGTTTAAGTTAGTCAGTTAGGAATATTTATGGAGTGTAGGGCGGGAACGAGAGATGCGGAAAGCAAGACAGAAATAGAAGACACGGAACACTGGCCTCAGTCGCTCTTAAGAACCTCAGAAATACTATGGATACATTCTTACAGGCCTCAGTTTTTGAAGATGAGTGCCAATTCTTGAGGAAAAGGGGATTTAGTAACATATGAAGCATGTCACCATGGATATTAATGTTAATTTAGCTTATGCATTCCGAATTTTCCAATGTGACTCATTTTTTAAGTTACAAAGAATGGTTAGGCTTTGGAGGTGAATTTGCCACTATTTTTAGAAAAATGTAGAAAGTCATCCAAAATGTTATATTTTACAAACCCAACTTTTCTTATAGTACTTAAGTCTTACATAGAAAACTTCTATTCTTTTCAGAAGACATTATATTGAGTCTGTTTTTTTTTTAGTTTCTTTACCATATTACATAATGGAAATTTGTCCCTATATAGTGACTAAAACTCTGTGGTAATTTAAAAAAATGATAATAGCAGATAATATACAAAATAGTAATTGGTGAAATACCATGGGAGAATAAAAGGGGAGTATGAGGCTTGGAGGTCACACAGACCTGGGTTAGAGCCCAGTCACACCACCTGCTAGCTACAGGACCTTGAACTATGCTTCTTCCACCCCACTCACCTGGGTCTCTTACAGGAGAAATGGGAATAAAAATACCTCCTTTTCAGAAGATGCTGCTGAGGATCAAGTGAAAAATATATCAAACACTATGCCTAGGTCATAAGAGATACTCAGTAATACTAGCTCTCTGATGGATTTGTGAATATGTTTTCCTTCTATTATCCAAACCTTCTTTATTAGTGTATTACCCTAAGATTTAATAAATAATTTAAATATATATGCTTTAAATTCAAAGCTCAGGATAAAATGGTGTTGTGCGTTTGGTTTTTTCCCTACTTTGTCATGCTAACTAAAAACAATTAGGAACAGAAGGAAATGTATTTAAAAAATAACTATATTAGCTGTTCTTCAAGGGCTCGGATTGTTATAATGCTGTTCCAGTGTAGCATCATTTCACAAGAGGTGCATTTCCAAATAGATGTAATAATAGCCACTTATTACAATGTATCGCTTCACCAGGCACGGGGCTAAGTGCCTTCAAGGATGGCCTCACTTGGTCCTCACCACAGCTCCAATGATCATTTAGCATTTTATAGATGGGGAAATTAATGATGAAAGTGTTTAAATAACTTTCCTTATATGATTGAAGTACTAGTTGGCAGTGCCGGAACCCAAGCCTGAATCTGTCCGTTGCAAACCTCCAAACCACCTGATGGTAGGCAATCCTCTCCCGCTTCAGTGTGTTATATTGTATTCGAACTGGAGCTAATGCAATTTCTCAGTGACCTGCTAGCTGTCATCCATCCTCGGGCCAGTGACCGACCCTCCTTGAGGTGACATTTCCTGACCTGTAAACTAGCAACTATGGTTCCTTCCCAGTAATTTGGGGGAAGAGGTGGTAGTTACACGGATTGCCAATGTCCTCCAACCAAATCACCGGGAAACATACCTGTACGTTGGACAAGTTGAGCTGATCCCTCATCACAGTGAGAGAGGTGACCCCAGAGGGTCTCCTGGGGTATCTCAGTAAGAATATGAGGAAGGATGTGTTACAGGACATGGGCTTTGGGTGGGCAGAGTGGAGTTCACTCTGGATTATCAGGGCCGATTCTATGATTGGCCAATAAATAAATAAATAAATAAATAATAAATTTTACCACAGGGAGGGACAGACGAGGGTAAGACTAAAGCTGTAATGGGTAAAGAAGCAGCTGTTGTTTGTGGTATTGGAGCGGGGGTGGGGCGGGGGAAGGCTGTGGAAAGGCTGTGGATATTTTGTGCTTTGCACAATGACCCTGTTTTTGTCTGTTAGACAAAATGATGAAACGAGGGCGCCTGGGTGGCTCAGTCAGTTAAGCAACTGCCTTCAGCTCAGGTCATGATCCCAGAGTCCTGGGATCGAGTCCTGCATCGGGCTCCCTGCTCAGCAGGGAGTCTGCTTCTCCCTCTGACCCTCCCCCCTCTCAGGCTCTCTCTCTCATTCTCTCTCTCTCAAATAAATAAATAAAATCTTTTAAAAAAGGCAAAAAAAACGATGAAGCGGACTTGTTTCGTGTCCCTCTGTGACGGGCATGGAATGAGCTTGTCCGACGTGGACATTCTGTGTCACAGATTACATCCATAGGGGAACAGCTTCTGAGAGCTCCAGGACCTAGTGGATAGAGTGAGGCTCTTCCCAGGTATCGGGGCCGCTTTGCTCTTGCTCAAAGACTGAAGGAGACAACCTAAACCAAAGGTGGCTTTGTCAGCTGCAAAGCTTTGTACGGAGAGAAAGCTCAAAGGAAAAATCAAGGCAGTGCTGCTGTGTCTGGCTGGCATTAAAAAGAGAAAGGGCGTCCTTTCGCCTTCTTTTATCATTAGGAAATGATCACAAATTTGGGGTGCTCGGGAATATCAACTGCTCCCGGAAACCAAGTCCTGCTCTGGGGGGCGCAAGAGAGCCAAAGTGCTGAGCTTACCCTGTCTTGCCTCCCTGTGTCTTTCTCCAGGTCGGACTCATCTCCGGCACAGCCTTCGTGATTCTTGGACTGACTGTTCTGGCTGTGGGCTTTCTGGTGCCCCCCAAAATCGAAGCCTTTGGCGAAGCCGACTTCGTGGTGGTGGACACGCATGCTGTGCGGTTCAACGGAGCCCTTGACGTGTGTAAGCTGGCCGGGGCCGTTCTCCTCTGCCTCGGGGGCATGTCCATGGCGGGGTGCCTGCTGATGTCAGTGTTCGTGAAAAGCTACTCCAAAGAGGAAAAGCTCCTTCAGCAAAAGTTTAAAGAGCGCATCGCAGACATCAAGGCCCACACCCAGCCCATTACAAAAGCCCCGGGCCCCGGGGAAACAAAGATTCCCGTCACTCTGTCCAGGGTTCAGAATGTCCAGCCTGTTTCAGCAACCTGAGACACCCCCCACCCCAGTCCCCCCTCTCTGATTACACACAGTGTTCATCCACAAGGAGCGGGGCTGGCTTTGGAGATGATGGGGCTAGGGCGTTGGCTGGCCCCAGGGTGGGGCTCGGCTGCGGGCAGCGCGGGGCGTGAGCTCATATCGGCTCGGTTCTGGAGGGGCTCCGGAGGAGGTGATGCCCGTGGAGACCCATGCATATGCACCGAGCTGCTTTGGGGGTGCTCTGTGTGCCCACCGGGAGCCCCCGGGAGCTCCCCTCTCAAATATCGTGACTCCCTGTCATTTCCCCGCGTTACTGGAGAGCGCCCACCGGTTTAGACCAGATGACCAGTGGCTAACGTGGTGTGTTTTATTTTCTAGTGTCGGTTTCCTGATCTTTCTTGTGTGGTGCTGCTTCTATTCCTGTCTCACTATGTGTAAGATACTGTTGTATGTGTTCATAGAAAAATCGAGCTCCTTGATTCTGACCCAGACGTTCGTCTTTTAACTCAATCTTCACATGAGGTTACTGAGATTGGATACAAATTTATTGGAGTTCTCTGCCAATCTTCTTTTGGTTTTGTTTTGTTTTCTCCAGTGTTTTCACTTGAAAAGCTAAAATTGCCAACTTTAGAATCTTGGGGAAGAAATTAACATTAGGAGTATCTATGCAGTGTCCAAAAGCCGGAGAATGAGAAGCTACTACTACCTAGCTGTGTGACCTTGGGGGATCCGTTTAACCTCCCCCGGCCTCAGTTTCCATCCATAGGACAGAGATCCCGGACTGTGGTGTCTGAGATTCCTCTTTTGCCGCGTGTCATTGTGTCTCCCCGGGGCCGTGTTTGCGATCTCCCCAGGGCTCTCACCTCAGTGGGACTGTTTGAGATCTGGACTCCCACAAAAATCTCCGAATCAGCAGCTACTCACCTTTCAATATCCAACCCCAGCAGTTTATACAGTGCTGTCGTGTTTTTATAAAGACAAAAGTAAGCCATCCTCAAATAAGAAACCCGTGAGTAGATATTAACCTTAAAAAGGGTTTTCTTCCTCAAATAAGATGTTTTATTCTCCAGCAAGATGCTCATCTCACCCCTATGCACTTTTACTTAGTCTGTGGATTTAAGCCGGACTAAGGAACACGTGACCTTGGTATTCTCTCAGAAATCGTGCCACCTTCGAGTTCTGTCTCTCCTCTCTTTCTTCCTTCACCGGATAAATAAAATATGTGACCGAGCAGAACGTGAGTTGCACTGTCATTCCTTCACCGCGGCTGTTTTCTCTCCAAGGAGCGAGCCTCCATCCTGAGGCTGGGGGGCGAGCTCTCCTGTTTCCCTGGCGAAATGCAAGAACAAAGCAAGCGATCAGTGCTCTCGGTGCACACTGTTTGTTAGTCCCGGTCCAGCAGGGACTAGGGGGCAGATCGGCATCCTCCACAAGGATCACGGGCCAGATAGGGCAGAAATCATTCCAGTTTCCTCAGGTTCTCACCTTGCCGTGGAAATAGCCTTTTAATTGTGTTCTTTGAAGCCTTATGTAAGCCCCAAGCATCTGCTCCAGACAACATCATTTGAAGATTTCCATGCTTCCTTCTGTGTTGTGTACCAAGGAGTCTTGGAGGATGGGACTTGACTTTTAAAAGCCTCCAGAATGAAAAATAATGGCGGCAGGGCTTGGGAACCTTCCGGTACAGGCATGAGAGCAGCCATCAAGGAGCAGCTCTGTTCCCCCAAAGACCTAAAGGAAACCAAAACAGAGAGAGGAGAAGCTGAGTCTGAAAAAGCAATTCAGCATGCCCCGTCTTTCCCGTCCTGCCCAGGCTCTGTGAGAGCAGGTGCTTGTGAGGACCCTCCTGGAGCCCTCGGGAGGGATTGTAGGAAAGCAGAAGAATAGGAAATACAGTTTGATCTTTGGAGACAGCGCGGACCACGGGTACTCACGGGAGCAGCCCGTGAGGACTTTTTAAAGCTGAGTGGGCAGACAGCAGTGGTATGGCAGGCAGAATGGCCTTAGAGCCTTGATCTCATTCTGCCTGCTCTCAGGGAGTCCGTCCCTCCTCCCTGCTATGGAAATTCCCACAGGTGCATGGAAGTGCATGCCCACCGCCGGGGAGGGAGGCCGGGCAGACTGTGCTCACACTGCAACTGGAGAAACAGAATGCGTTCAGGCTCGGAGATCACAAGGGGTAGCGTGGAGTTGGTACCACCCCTAGAGGATACCAGCCCAGCCACGTCAGCGTGGATCCCGCAAGTGTTGGGAGCTGCAGTGAGGGACCCCTGCTGCCTCCCTCCCGGGGCAAGCCCCTGCGTCTTCGTGGTTAGTAAGCTTACCCTCAGATCTTTCCAAAATCTGCCTTTCTAAACATTGGACCAAATCCTATCAAAGTTACCTGAAAGCTAACCCCGCTTACAATGGCCCACTCACCTCGCCCCCCGCGTCCCAGCCTAGGAAGATTTTCATTCAGTTATTTCCTGTCCCCTTCCGCAGTGTCTTCTGCAGGGAGGCACGTCTGTGTGTTCTTACTGTTCCTACTTCATCTGTGCCACCAATGAAATGGGGTCCCTACCAGTTTTACCAGTCAGATCCCCTGACTTACTGTCTGCACAGCACCTCAAACCCGAGAACTGACGGCAGGGAGACTGTGAGGCAAACCCCTGACGAGGGTCCGAGGCCTCCCGGGATCTGATCCAGCTCCTTCCAGTCTTATTCTGACAGTCCCTCCAGAGCCCGGCATCCTGGCCACGCGCCACCACTCTCCTCCCTCAGCGTGCTTCACTCGCGGGGCTTATCTTCCCAGCGATAACCTCCTGCCCCTGCACTGGCCATTGAGCCATCATTCAAGGCCACATCAGGAAATAATAGCAATAATCATGGGACCTAGTATGTACTGAGTGGAGGCATTTTACATAAGTAATTCATCTAGTTCTCACCAATAAACCCTGTGAGGTCAGAGCTACTGTCTTATGCCCACTTGACAGGGGAGGAAACAGACAGAGAGAGGACCACTTGCCCGAGAAGAACCAGGATTCAAATCTCAGCAACCTGGCTGCAGAGTCTGCAGGCTGCCTTTTCATCCAGTGTGCTCTCTGCCACGTTTCCTCTCTCCCTCCCCCAACCCCTGGTTCAGACTCAAGGTCTCTTCCTCAATACAGCCGGCATTTTGCACAAACATGTTCTACCACACTTAACTGTCTCTGTTATAGTGATCGGTTTACACATCTGTTTCTTCCATTAGTAGCTAGACTATTAGCTATTTGGGTACAGGGACCACATCTTAATGAAGGTGAACCCTCAAAAGTGCATATGGAAAACCTATGTGCTACTATTATATGGTCATTTAAAATAACTAGTGCAGCTTTACTTAGAGCCAGGCACTAGAGAAAACAGAGAGATAACTGATAGGGGCACTAAAATTTCTGCCCTAACGTGTGTGTGTGTGTGTGTGTGTGTGTAGGGGATTTCCTGGACAGAACTAAGACCAGAGTATGGATATGGGTGCCTCAAAGCAAAGCTCTCCCCAACCTAACATTTGGATTAGAGGAGCTCATTCTAGTGGCTAGCTTGCCATTATGACATCTAAAAGCAAAATCCTCCCACCAAGGAGCCCTGCTCACGGACACAGAGCTAGTGGGTGTACTTCTCATTCCTTGTGGGAGAGAGGGGTGGAAGACCCAGAATGTCCTGGTCGAGAGCAGAGTCATTGCCTCCAACGCTCCTAAGCCAACCACGTGGTCCTTCATCCTTAAATATGAAAGTATAGCCAGAATCATCAGACACCTGGGGAAAATCAGCACCTTGAAAGAGGATACACAGAGAATAACAGAGTCCATGGGAAACGTAAGTATTTCAGAACTCATAGGAGAACTCTAAAAAAAGTCTAATTAGCCTTCAAGAAGAAATGGCACCCATAAGACAAAAATAGAATACTATAAAAAAGGAACATCAAATAGTTTTAAAATAACAAATTACTACGTGAATAATTTGAAAGCCTTCCCCAAAAAGTAAAAATCCCCTCTCATAAAAATTTTAAAAAGAGATAAAAAATAAAAGACACAGAGAATCCGTCAAAGATAAAAAGATAACAGGAGAAAAATTATCAATAAAATAATAGAAGAAAATTTCTCCTGGCTACAGAATACAGAAATCTTCAGATTGGATGTGTCTGCTGAATATTCAACACTGTGAGTGGTTAAAGAAAAGAGACACATTTTTGTGAAATTTTAGGACAAAAAAGAAAAAAGCATCCAAGCTTCCAGAGAGAACAGACATCTACAAAATAATAGAAATCAGAGTGGGAAGAGAAAAGGGCTGTGATTTCAGGCAATAGATGGGAAGGTTACTTTTAGTCTACAGAAAGATACGTTGACTCTTATGAAGGAGAAAAAAAGACAAGCAATAGAAACCCCAAAGGACATTTAGAAATAGGGGCCCCTGGCTGGCTCAGTCGGTGGAGCAAGGGACTCTTGATCTCAGGGTTGTGAGTTCAACCCCCATGTTGGGCCTAGAGCTTTCTTAAAAATAAATAAATAAATAGAAGTTTAAAAAAAAGAGAGAGAGAAGGGAAATTTAAAAATAAAGTGCACAATGAAATCATGGTCCAAATTATTAAGCATGATTCTCTGATTAGAGTCTAAGACAAGAGAAGCCATGTGAAACCCGACCTTCCTTCCCACTGGGCACCCTATCGTTGGTGGAACAGGAGCTGGGACATGAACCCACAGACAGAGGACCGAACCCTGTGCCTCGAGGGGTCCTGCCACGACAAACACAAAGTCAAAATAGTGCAAACCGATTACTTGTTTTCAACCCTCAGAATCAAACAGTAGACAAACGAAATGCCTAAAATATGACTTTGAAACGGACTGAAATGTGATAAATCTGATGCTGTAGCAATAAAGAGAGAGCTAGCAAGATGTGGAAAACAGAAGGGAAAGGATAAGGGGAGAGAAGGGTAGGAAGACTGATACCATCATCTGATCTAGTGAGAAATTAAGAGTAACTAAAGGTCAAGGAAAGAAGAAATGCATGTAAATTTAAGAACTTAATAACAGGGTGCCTGGGTGGCTCAGTTGGTTAAGCGACTGCCTTCGGCTCAGGTCATGATCCTGGAGTCCCGGGATCGAGTCCCGCATCGGGCTCCCTGCTCGGCGGGGAGTCTGCTTCTCCCTCTGACCCTCCTCCCTCTCATACTCTCTGTCTCTCATTCTCTCTCTCAAAATAAATAAATAAAATCTTTAAAAAAAAAAAGAACTTAATAACAAAGAAAAATTTAAGAAACACACTCTCTCTCAAAAAAAAAAAAGTAATTAATTAAATTTAATTTAAAAAGGGGCGCCTGGGTGGCTCAGTGGGTTAAGTCTCTGACTCTTGATTTCGGGTTGTGATCTCAGGGTCGTGAGATCGAGCCCCACATCGGGCTCTAGGTGTGAAGACTGCTTAGGGTTCTCTCCCCCACACCCCTCCCCACCCCCATGCTCACCTCGCTTGCTCTCTCAATCAATCAATCAATTCATAAGATAAAATGAATTGAAAAAAGAGATAATGGCTTAACTTTAAAATTTGTTGTTAAGAAGACAGCGCAATGAAAGAACTGAAAATGAAGCACAAACATTAGAAAGAGAGGGAGTAAAACGAGCTACAGAGAAGATAAAGGAAACCCTCATCTTCCCATGATAGGAAATCACTCAATATTGTCTCAGTTAATAAATCAAGAAATCATAAATGTGTTATTTGCAGTTATGGAAGGAGCCACTAAGAAGAGCTTCAAACAGGAATTATTATTAAATTATTAAAAAGAGGTCGCCTCTCAGAGAGGCTGCGGGAAGGAGGCCAGAGCGGAGGCAGGACTATCTGAATTCACACCAGGAAGACCAGGACCAGCAGTGCTCCTGTCCCCACGGCCTTGACAGAGACTTTAAGCAAATCGCTCGTGTTAGAGGCTACAAAAAAGGAGCATCCTGGGATCCTGTTGAACAAAGGCATCCGTCCTAGATTAAGTTTCTGGGAAGATCTCCCTGAGGAAATGTCCTGAAATATGAGCAGAAGTTGACCGGAGTGACCCTGGTCTAAGGAGGAATCTGTTCTTTTTTTGGGTGGGGGGGGTGGACTTGGGACTTTGAAGACTGAAGCAAGAGCACAAAGTGCCAGAGCCAAGAGTGAGCGCGGCACATGGAAAGAACCGGATCAAGTGCGCTCCAGCTAAAGTAGCTCAGGACCCGGGGCGGGGGGAGGGCATCTGGGAC